GTGCTTGGTGATCCACCTTCGCATATGCAGGCGTGGTACGAACTCACATTTACCTGCAACTTGGCAGGCGTGGCACTTATGGCACAAGGTAGCGCGCTTGGCCTTGGTTTAGGTGCCCGTGACCCCGCATCATTTGCGGGTCAGGCGTGAAGAAACTGACACACCGTCGTTTTGCGGCGTGGCTGTGGTACAGATGGGTCCGTGACGCCGTAAACATCTACTGCCCCCCCTGCTGGGGGGGTACCTGGCACAGTGACCACCACGACATTCTTGCTCAGGGTAAAAATATGGTAATGACTCTGTCCATGGAGGCCTTCTGGACAAGCTGATCTGAGAGGACGCTGAGAGAGGCATAAGTTGTAGCCCCGTGTTCATGTACAGCTTCGGCACATCTATGCCAGAGTAGACAGGCAAACTGTTTAGGCCTTCAGGTCTGCTTGAATGTCGTGGTTCTTAATTCATTTTCGCATGTTTTTGAGAGTGATACAGTGGTCAAACCACTGTGTCCTTTGGCAAATCTTTTTTGTGGGTGTTTTTGTTTCGGCTCCGGCCCCTTTTGTGTGTCTGGTTTGTTGTTTCTCTTGACGAAACGCAAGTCTGGTTGGGGGATTTGCGGGTCGTCTGGCTGGTTTGTGGGTTGTTTGGTTTGGTGTGATTTGCCCTCATGTCTGGACCTATTTTGGTCCTTGTACAAATTGCATTCTACTGCTTATGCTCATTGAAGGACCGAGCCATAGTGCGACATCGGCCACACTCGAGGAAAAAAAACTTCGTTTGGGCGCCCGTTGTGTGGCGCAGCTTTACCAAAAGAATTCTTTTGCAAGTGTGCCGGAATGACAGGATTCCGGAGAACACGGTTGCCCCGCCTGCATGTTGCCATCTTTGCCAAAGCGCCATGTTGTTTGGAATTGTTTGGAATTGTTTGGATCTTGTTGTGGTAGGCTTTCGCAACATGGCGTGGGTGAGGTGCTCCGCTGCAACATTGCTGGCGGCGGGATGCTTTCTGTGTTTGCGTTGGCAGTGAATGGTTTTGTCACGATTGGGCGTCGCACTGCTCAGTTTTGTTTTGGTCTCTTGGTGCATTGTTTTTGGGCTCCTCCCCGCTTCGCCCCCTAGACTCCTTACGTAGCCATTTTGGCTCAAGTATCTGGGTCCCGAGGCTTCCTGACTGCAGACTGATCAGGTTTCCTCAGACTGCTCTTGTCGTAGACAGCCCCCTTTTCTAATTCCTTTCACCTTCTGCTCCTCTTTGTTTGTCGGAAGCTCACCACTTGTCACATTACAGGTGTAGAGGCCAACGAGAATGTCTTGCCTTCGCGCTTGCGTATGTGTGCCTTCCCATCGAGTGTGGTTAAACTACAAAGAAAAAACCTTACACAGCAATTCATTGCTTACGGTTGCACTACGGCCCCCCAGTTACACTACAGCTTGCAGGAATCATTTTCTCATGCCCCTCTTTGTCACGTTAATCTAACGTCTCTATGGGACGACCATTCAACGTCCTCACAAATGTGGCTGGGAGTCTACGCCGCTTTTTGGGCGCAGAGGGACCACTGTCCTTCAGAGACGACATTAAGAACCCTGTACGAGCACGACGAGGCATGACACAGACAACATCATCTGCTGTGGGGGGACCATTCCCTGCAAGTGGCGGGCCTTTCCACCCCAGAGATGCGCAAGCTTCTGCAGACAAGAACTGTTGCTGGAGTAAAACACCGTCTTGCAGGAAAGCTCGCTGCCAAGACTGGCCAACCACAACCTTTTCAACTGTATTGCAAATGACTGAGATCCAGTCTTGTGTGCTCACTACACCTCCAAGGACCTCCGATTTGCGACGTCGCCAGCTCTCCTGCAAAGTGTGCTTGAAAATACTGAAAAGATGGGTGTCACACGGCTGCAGAAAAGATGTCATCTTGGCTGGCACGTAGACCAATCGCAACCCTTTCTGCGCTGCCAACCTGGAAATCGATGGGTGAAAATGCACCTTGGCGCTATCCAACAATAATATCACAAAGCGGGCCTCAAGGATAGAACCCAATGCCTTTGACAGTAAGGCTATGTAACGTCGCATGCAAACATACGTGTTCCAAGCTGTCTTTTCCCTCCACAGGTGCACTTGCTGCGGAAGCTTTGGTGCGACAGCACGCAAGGTTTGCAATGTGAACTTGTCCGCGTTGCCAATGAGGACCTGTGGAAGCAGAGGTTGGATCTCCGCATCATCTGTGATTGCTGCCAAATAAGAAACATGACCGCGTAGCTCAGAGAGACTTGCTTGATCCCTCCCTCGTGCCCCTTTGACGACAGTGCCTTTCAGTCCAGCAATGTGATAGGCCAAGGAAGTTTCATCCATATTGATTATCAATGGTCGGCGTCCAGCTGGCGCCCGCGACAGCTCAAAGTTGATCCACTTGAAGTAGCTCAAGGCCTGCATGTCCGAACGCATTGGTGTTCAAAATTCCAACCAAAAAAAGTGCCCAAAAATAGGTCCACCAAGCGGCACCAAAAAATGGTCCCGCGAAATGGCACCAAAAAAGGGTCCGCGAAACGGGCCCAAAATCAAGATCCCAAAGCCCCACCAAAGCAACGTTCTACTAAGTCCCTTCTATAACAGACCCTTTCATGGCACCGCAGAACGGGCCCAAAAAGGAGCCCGTTGAGCGGACCTCATTTTGGGGCCGCTGGGTGGCCCAAGTTTGGGGCCATCTCCTAGTCTCAAAACCGCTACGCTGCCAGCAAAAATACTGACTTGGCAAGAATGCTTGGGACCGAATCTTCTGGGCACACAAAAAACATAACACAAGAAACGTTACAACTTTCACAAACAATGCTGCCTTTGCTTGCAAGACATCCACCGGCAATGCATCTTGCACTCTCAGGATACCTAAACGTGCGCCCCAATCCTGTCTGAACCTCACCAACCACTTGCGCTGAGCTCTGGGCTCTCCAGCAACAAGGGAACGCACCCTCTCCTGGCCCTCCACACTCATGCTCTTGGGGGTGAAGGCTTGGGCCTTTTCCACTAGCTGCGACCGGGTGGGTGCAACTCCTTGCACGGTGTTCTGATAATACAGCCAATGGAATAACTTGTATTCAAGCACATAGCGGGCAGCCAAAACTTGGTCCATCAATGAGGCAGTTTCTGCCAATCCATCTTGACAAGACCAGACAACATCCTCCACCAGCTCTTCAACACTAGCGTCACTGTGCGCTTTGGGCTTCGACCGCCGCCCCCCACCCGCGCACAAAATGGGCAGCTGCAGCTCGTGAGTTCTGGCTGAACGTGTGCACTAAGCGAGCAAGGTCTACATCTCGAGGAGACACGCAGCCAGACTTTGCCATCCTGGCTTCAAGACGTCTCTTCCTCTGCTGCAAGGCACGCACACGGCGCCGACACTCCACAAGGGTATGCGCAGGGTTCTCCATGCCGCATGAAAGAAATAAACAGAAACCCAACAAACAGCCACAAAGTTTGCTACATGAACTGTCAACCGTTTCTATGAAAACAGGAAACAAACTGCCCGCTAATTGTGGTATTGCGTACATGCTTTAGATGCACACCGCCAATCGGCACTAGAACGGTCTGGTGCTTGAACGCAGGCGGCTGCAAGGCGCCCGGATGCCATTGGCACTGAAAGACGAAACCACAAAGACAGGATGACTCACACATGCTGACTCTTATCAGGCTCTTATCTTAAGTTTGAGATGTCAATGCTTCAATGAATCAAACATTGGCTTCTGAATGTCCATAATGCCCATCTACACAGTTGCACTACGGCCCCCCAGTTACACTACAGCTTGCAGGAATCATTTTCTCATGCCCATCTTTGTCACGTTAATCTAACGTCTCTATGGGACGACCATTCAACGTCCTCACAAATGTGGCTGGGAGTCTACGCCGCTTTTTGGGCGCAGAGGGACCACTGTCCTTCAGAGACGACATTAAGAACCCTGTACGAGCACGACGAGGCATGACACAGACAACATCATCTGCTGAGGGGGGACCATTCCCTGCAAGTGGCGGGCCTTTCCACCCCAGAGATGCGCAAGCTTCTGCAGACAAGAACTGTTGCTGGAGTAAAACACCGTCTTGCAGGAAAGCTCGCTGCCAAGACTGGCCAACCACAACCTTTTCAACTGTATTGCAAATGACTGAGATCCAGTCTTGTGTGCTCACTACACCTCCAAGGACCTCCGATTTGCGACGTCGCCAGCTCTCCTGCAAAGTGTGCTTGAAAATACTGAAAAGATGGGTGTCACACGGCTGCAGAAAAGATGTCATCTTGGCTGGCACGTAGACCAATCGCAACCCTTTCTGCGCTGCCAACCTGGAAATCGATGGGTGAAAATGCACCTTGGCGCAATCCAACAATAATATCACAAAGCGGGCCTCAAGGATAGAACCCAATGCCTTTGACAGTAAGGCTATGTAGCGTCGCATGCAAACATACGTGTTCCAAGCTGTCTTTTCCCTCCACAGGTGCACTTGCTGCGGAAGCTTTGGTGCGACAGCACGCAAGGTTTGCAATGTGAACTTGTGCGCGTTGCCAATGAGGACCTGTGGAAGCAGAGGTTGGATCTCCGCATCATCTGTGATTGCTGCCAAATAAGAAACATGACCGCGTAGCTCAGAGAGACTTGCTTGATCCCTCCCTCGTGCCCCTTTGACGACAGTGCCTTTCAGTCCAGCAATGTGATAGGCCAAGGAAGTTTCATCCATATTGATTATCAATGGTCGGCGTCCAGCTGGCGCCCGCGACAGCTCAAAGTTGATCCACTTGAAGTAGCTCAAGGCCTGCATGTCCGAACGCATTAGTGTTCAAAATTCCAACCAAAAAAAGTGCCCAAAAATAGGTCCACCAAGCGGCACCAAAATGGTCCCGCGAAATGGCACCAAAAAAGGGTCCGCGAAACGGGCCCAGAATCAAGATCCCAAAGCCCCACCAAAGCAACGTTCTACTAAGTCCCTTCTATAACAGACCCTTTCATGGCACCGCAGAACGGGCCCAAAAAGGAGCCCGTTGAGCGGACCTCATTTTGGGGCCGCTGGGTGGCCCAAGTTTGGGGCCATCTCCTAGTCTCAAAACCGCTACGCTGCCAGCAAAAATACTGACTTGGCAAGAATGCTTGGGACCGAATCTTCTGGGCACACAAAAAACATAACACAAGAAACGTTACAACTTTCACAAACAATGCTGCCTTTGCTTGCAAGACATCCACCGGCAATGCATCTTGCACTCTCAGGATACCTAAACGTGCGCCCCAATCCTGTCTGAACCTCACCAACCACTTGCGCTGAGCTCTGGGCTCTCCAGCAACAAGGGAACGCACCCTCTCCTGGCCCTCCACACTCATGCTCTTGGGGATGAAGGCTTGGGCCTTTTCCACTAGCTGCGACCGGGTGGGTGCAACTCCTTGCACGGTGTTCTGATAATACAGCCAGTGGAATAACTTGTACTAGTATAGTACTATACATATCCTCCCAAAACCCTCCCATCTATAAACCAGTATGTATAAACCAAATACTCCATATACATAGTTCAACATGTATATCCGTATACATACATAAAGAATCGTGATACGCGCCGTCGAATGTTCGTCTTCCTTTCTCAACTGTGATTCCTCATTCGAGGTCCAAAAATTTTTCTTCCAAAATAAAAATCGCCGTTTCGCCAAATCCGATTTCATGACATGTAAAAACCTCTGCAAAACGAATGACAGATGAAACAAGGTGCCGATCACTCACGCAGCAATTCTTTTTCGCGCTTTGGCTCTTTATTCAAGGTTGGTGTTCCCAAGACCTGTTGGAGATATGCTTTCACATCAAAGTAAATTGTTCCGGTGTGATTTTCCGAGCAATCTCCACATTCCCGGGTTTGGGTGGGTGGGACACTTTGGTCTCCAACCCTGTTTGGTCCACTTACTGGCCACCATATAAGTATAAATTCATATACTGTCCATAAATTCCAAATTGAGATGATTGAACAATTGCACAGGTTTGACATTGAAGATTCCGTCAAATGTCAATTCCGAAAAACCTGTTTTGGACAACATGGTTTTGTTTGGCAATTGTTTTTCAACCAGTTTAGATTTACTTCCGAGTTACCGGGTTTCGCGTAAGACGTAAACCAACCCAGAAGAAATCGCGTTACGCGTAGATAAAGGAGGTAACCGAAATCACTACACAAAAGTGATGTGAAGATTACCAGAGGAGGAAGGAAAGATGTTTCACCGGATACTTCAGCGGAAGTATCAACATCAAGTACTAACTAATACACTATCGCAACGAGTCGCGAGTGCGTACTAGTATAGTACTATACATATCCTCCCAAAACCCTCCCATCTATAAACCAGTATGTATAAACCAAATACCTCATATACATAGTTCAACATGTATATCCGTATACATACATAAAGAATCGTGATACGCGCCGTCGAATGTTCGTCTTCCTTTCTCAACTGTGATTCCTCATTCGAGGTCCAAAAATTTTTCTTCCAAAATAGAAATCGCCGTTTCGCCAAATCCGATTTCATGACATGTAAAAACCTCTGCAAAACGAATGACAGATGAAACAAGGTGCCGATCACTCACGCAGCAATTCTTTTTCGCGCTTTGGCTCTTTATTCAAGGTTGGTGTTCCCAAGACCTGTTGGAGATATGCTTTCACATCAAAGTAAATTGTTCCGGTGTGATTTTCCGAGCAATCTCCACATCCCATTGGTCAACGAGGGAAGTCACCACGGCTCCAAAAGCTTTTGCTTTTTGGCCTTCCTTGTCTTTACCAGCTCGGCGACCTTACGTTTCTTCTCCGCTGCCAGCTCCATGTGAAACTCATTGGCCTTTTCCATAAGTTCACTGAGGACCAACCATTTGGTGTCCCCACCAACAAACTGCACACGGCAATCCATGGGAAATTTCGTGAAAACCTGATTTGTCAAATCGTCTGCAAGTTGGTTTTTCTCTCTCGGAATCCATTGAAGATCTAGTTCGCAATTCCGGGCACGAAGGGTCTCTGAGAGCTCCATGATCAGCACCGTGAGTGGATATTTTGTACTCATCAACCGGCTGACTGCATAAGAATTTCCTTGGTTATCTGTACCAGCTCTCACCCAACACCGGCCCTTGCCACCTCTCTGTAGTCCATTTGCCCAAAGTCTGACAGCCACCAACGTAGCCAATAGTTCCAAAGCTGCTATTACCCGTTTTGGGTCTTTACGAACAAAAAGCCACGGTGCCCAGCTTTCTTGCACCTCTTCTGAGAACCACGAAATTATGCTACCTTCCTTTGATTGCAAGAAGCCTCCTATCCAAGCACCCTGCTCTGTAGCCTTTGCATCTGTAAAGAAAACGAGATCTGCTTCATTATCAGTTCGGATGGGAGTTGGCTCTTGTAGGCTGCCCCCATCTCGAGTTCTTTTAGCCAGAAACCAAAAAATTGTACGTAACATTGCCGGTATCTTCAAGAGGCCTTTCTTTGTCCTCACTGCTGCAGACCAGGCATATAATGGCCCCAAGAAGGGCCTCTCCCATGTCAAGGCGTTCGCTGCGAAGCCCAATCGGCCAAGTCCTTGTTCCATCTCCTTTGATGTTGTGCGACCTGTCTGAGCCATCTTTCTTGTCCAATTTTCCATCCAAGCCGCTCTGCTTTCGGACAGGCCCAGTCTCATTGTAGTGTAATCGGTAAAAAGACCGATCCATTCCACCTTCAAGCCACCCCGTTGTTTGCCCCATTTGAAAGGAAAGCCCATAGTCGCAAGATACAAATAGGATAATACTATGCCCCTTCTACCTTGTATCCCAGCTCCAAGCGATTCCAAATCATCAGCAAAAATGAGCATCTCAATAGGCCGCTCTGGTCCAAGCAATTCGTGGGTCAAGCGGATACCAGACGCCGCTATCCTTCCCCACCAGTAACTTGCTGATGCTACTCCAAAGGTTCCAACCTTGTTGATGAAGATAAAAGGATCATCGTTCTTGACCCTGCATGCCAAGAGCCCACATTCAGAAGGTTCGTGTAGGAAACGTCGGTGAGCTTTGCTGATATCCCCAACCAGACTGAAAACAATGTCACCCCTTGCTTTGTAATACGCAAGCAAATACATCTTCTCCCTGGCTCCAGGACTCCTTTGTTTATCCCTGCAACGGATACGATTGTTCACCTTCGTCCCGTGTGTCGCATCGTGGATGATGCGTTTCTTATTTCCATGAGATTCCTCCACCAAGACTGCAAGCGAAGAAATTGCCACCTTCGAACCAAACCTCTCCTGTGCTTGTTCCAAAGTTAGTTTCTCCATCAAGCCTTCTTTGCACTCTTCTGCAAAATGTTCCCTTACAAATTCTTCATGGTCACCCACCGAATCGTAGTTGTTTCTCCATATCTCTGCTTTCATATAGGGGTCATCTTCCAGCTTCCATGAAGTCTGCTCCTCGTACATATGTGGCGTCCTTGGTAGGGGATGTAACACCCCAACCGGATAGCCGCTTTCTCCCTGCAGAAGAAATTTGTGGTCAGGGTCCCCAGCCCTATCCAGTAAGGCTTCCATCAGTCGCAATTTGAAGGGCTGCCCTTCCGCAACATGTTGAAGGTTCTCTGTGTTGTAACCTTCTCCATGAAGTCTGTCGCACCACAATTGTACCAGTTGGGATGACAAGGCATCGTTTTTCACCAGTTTACAGCCCTCTTCACCTTTTGCCGCCATCTCAAAACAGATTCGGTCAAAGTTCTGTTGCCCCCCACAGTGTTGTAGAACCAAGTTGTATGAATCCTCTCTCAAACTGTTCCAAAAATTATCCCTATTCCAAACACGTTTCTCCAGGTCCCACCTTCCAGGTGAGGCTAAACCACTGCCATCATGAAACATCCTAGTCTTTCCAGGCACCTTGCATTGTCTCGGCTCCCCATGACCCCCATTCAGCTTCCAACCCTCCGGTTGCATAACTGGAAAACTTTCAGCTCCAACCTTTTCCTCCACACCGTTCATGCATTCTGATCCCCCACCGCAGGCAGAAATGGTGTGGAGGGAACTCCAAACAGTCAAAATTTGTGTTGCCACCCATTTACAAAAACTGCTTGGCCATTGCTCTGTACCCGTAGTAGTAAATTTACCCCCCTGATGTCCAATCAAACGCACTGTTGCTTGTCTCCGTTCCAACGGTCCTTGATAGAAACCCTGCTCGTCAAAACACGGCAGGCCAGGTTTCATGCATTTTTCATCCATGTGCAAACCTTTCAACAACAAGCGTGTCGGTTTCAGGTATTCAGTTCCATAGTCAGATTGGTAAAAAGCACATGTTTGAAACTTTCCAGACTCAATCAACTGTAAAAACAAAGGCCACTGCCACATGCTCGCTGGTCGTTGTCCTGCATATGGACCAACCTGAACCGCACCTAGATCCTCCGGATTCTCAAAAATGACAATTGTATCCATGTCTTGTACCAACTTGCATACCTGAAAAGAAAAATCTGTCATTGAATTTCCCCAGTTTGCTTTTCTCCTTTCCGTCCAAGTCAAACGCAAGTGTCCTCGCAAGTGAACATAGGATCGCACTGGCCTGGGTCCTCTTCGATTCGAAAAGGTAGCTCTGGTGAAAGTTGAACACGGTGGACTCAAAATGATTGCAGCATAGAAACCAGATGAAATCTTGTTTAACAGTTCCTTCTGTACTGAAGCTTTTGTCAGATCCAAATGCGGCCTCACTCTGATATCCACCATGTCTATCTGTACTTTTACTCCCCACTTTGCGGAGAGCTTTTTCGTCCATGCAGCCACTGAGCCCTTCCGGGCAATACCTGAAAACAAGTACAGGACCCTGCAAACATCTGTATTATGTGAAACCTTGACTCTATCTGTAGGCCCGAGTCAGTTGCCTGTAGTATCAGGCGTTGGCTTCTCCTTGCAATTCAACGCGTTGTGGCCCTTTGCAAAACATTTGCTGCAAAGGTGCGCAAACTTGCACTTCTGATAACTGCACTTGCCCGCATTGAACCTGTAGCATATCTTCTCACCATTGGGACTCTGTCCAGATCCTTTCTGTGGACCCTTTGTCTTGCTCTTGCCTTTTCCTTTTCCTTTCGGGTTCCATGTCCCTGGGCTTGTTGAGCTTGTACCCGGGGTGTATGATCTCTTTGAATACAGTGCCAACAGTGTAATGAAATGCCGCTCTTTCGTGGTAGGGCATTTCCATGCCTTTTCCAAAGCCGCCCCAATCATGAGCCTCTCCGTCTGCATCAACGTGTAGGCCCGCTTTCTGATTGCATGCTCATATGATAATACCAGGCTCCATGGTGGCGTCTGAATCTGTTGACCATTCAGATCCGTTGAGCTGAGCCCCCAAACATAGTCGCCCAAGATGTAGTCCTTGTACTTATCGAAGACCTCTTTGCTAACATCTTGTATCTCTTCTCTATTCACATGCTTGAGAGCCAACATCATCAAACAGTTCTGCATCACGTTTAGCCTCCTGCGAAGCTGCTCTGGCCCTGTCGGAAGCGGTACATTGGTGCTTCCTTTCTTGACTGAAAGGCTTCCTTTGCTGTCGAAGATCGGGACTAAAACGTCCGGGTCGATTTCATCCTTTGAAACCACTTCTGCAAGCGTCTCTGCACGAAATTCACCATTTTCCAGTTCTTGCAGCTTTTTCTCAAGGTATTCTTTCGAAGGCATGACTCGATCTTCCACGTGTCCCACAGTTGTTTGGAAGAAATTCCTAAGTTGGACGTAGTCTCCCACTGGAATGGGTTTAGTCCATTCCCTTGTACTCATCTCAGCCTCCACCTCCGCTTTTCGCTTGGCTTTTGTAAGAGTATCTTTCCATGAGCAAATAACCGATGCCACCTGTGCCCTTTCTGCCAGTGAAGCTGCTGCATCGATGTTGAACTCGGTGCGCAAAACCTCTATCAAATCCTGCTCATCCCTGAAAAAGGATGAAAATTTGTTCACCGTCACCACACCATTCTCGAAGAAATGCGCCTGAACTGTATCTGGAACATCGTTTCTGCCCAATGTAAATCTCAAGTCAGAGCTGCCCAATTTCAGGGCGTCAGCCAGTGTGCGAGGCCCCATCAGTGGAGCAGCCATGGTTGCGCTAGGAGTGCCCAGTGCGCGGTGCAAAAGAAAAATCTCAAGATTTCATTGAAATGTCGTTCCACTTGTCCAGCTTCTGCTCAAATATTGTGAACTTATATATATCATTTGTGGATTCCAACTATCCTGAACTAAGCCGCTCAAAACAAAATCCTATCCAGTCAAGTAATAACATGCAAGATAAGTCAAACTCAAACGTCTGACCCTCTCACTTCTTTGAAGCCAAAAGATACCGGGAATCTGCGGATTCCTTTGGCTTTTCCTGTTGCCTCTATTCCGGAGGCAATTTTGATGTTCCATGTTGTGTGCCCTAACAAGTTCCGGTCAAGATGATGCTTCTGCCGATCTTGACAAGTTTAGGACACACTGCATTGAATCAGATCCATCGGATCTTTTATTTTCTCCCCCCGGTGGTCTATTCGACCGCTAAACCCATTTTGGGTTAACGATATATGTGAAACCCTTGTGAGAAGACCATGTTTCAAACATGCCACAAAGAGAAGTTTAACAAACTGAGAGCACTGCATCAACTGGAATCGCTGCTGCTGGATGACGTCGATGTATCTGATGATGTCTCACCAGAACTGTCATCTGCGTTCTTGTCTTTCGGCCAACAAACCCTGCAGACATGTGTATATTCTGAATCCTGCGGTCTGTTCTCAAACTCCACCGACTCTTTGAAGATTCTCTCTCTTGCCATCCAACAACCATTCACAGCTTTGTGTAACCTCTTGCAGTTCTTTGCAGTTGTGACAACTATGAAACCACTGACTCTGCATGTCTTTGTATCTTCTGTATGGCCCTCGTCCTGAACCTCTTCCAAGACGTCCCCCTCGGTTCCTTCAGGAGGTTGTTCTGCTGGATGCTCCCAGGTGCCATCTGATGCAAAAGAATCCATTGCCAACATTAACTTGCTGACCAGTTCACTGCGCTCCTCTTCAGCAATCTCCGTTTTTCTGTTCCGAAGCCATGCATCTGCACTCTCTGCTACATCAATTTCATCCAGAGTTTTAAAACGATGTGGTTTCCTCATTGCTTTTCCATACAATCCTTGAAGTTGAGACACCAAACCATTGTATGACCGCACATATGTATCACTTGCATCTGGTTTCCATCTGCCTACCAGATCACGCTTTGAGGTCTCGACTCCAAGCATAGCCAAGGCTGTAGGCAGTGTTGCCCTCTCGCTGTGTTCCGTCCAAAAAGACGCCAGTTCTTCAGGGAAAACAGGACTGAAATCATACAGTCCTACCAGATTCTTTCTCAAACGGCATGAATATGAAGTGACATCCTGATATGTTGCAAACTTGCGCTGAAAACCAGCCCAGTTGTCTGTCAGCTTCGGCAAAAGATAGTCCCTCTCAAAACCCGCATGCTGCTTCAACAACTGAAATCCCGTATAGATCCAAGATTTGTCCCAGATGAAAGCCTTCTCTGAGATACAGACTGGCAACTCCTGTACTCTCTTCCCAGGCCCTGACGTCTTTGTTACCCTGAGTCCTGAGTGTTGTCGTAAGTCTCTCACCTGTAAAATGAAGTTCAGCAGGTTTGATTTTCTGCATATCATCAAAACGAAGTGCCCCCCAAATCTTCAACAATTTCACCCATGCAATGACCCTGAATCCAACTGTCTGTTCCGTGTCCATGACAGCCATCTCCAAGGACTCGACTGCCACTGCCGGATACCGTGGAGCCCTTCTGATGGGCGGGGTGTCTGCTGCCAACTTCTCAGTTATGTAATCCCTGATCTGACAAACTGCCTTTGTAGTTGCAACAACTTCTGACTCCGGCAAACCAGCTGTTTTCTCAAACCATGCAACTGCTTTGCAAATGAAATTTGGAATAGTGGCACCACAGGGTTCATCGAAACGTGTAAAAAGGTATTCACAGAACATGCCAGGGTGTACAAAAGAATCAGCTCCCCATGTCAAATGCTTCCATGACTGCCAGTCCTTCCAAGCCTTGACGTAACGCTTCAAAGTGCTTGCACGTGTCTTGCCAGCTATAGCCACATGAATGCGCTCCTGATTAACACAAACTTCCATGCCATTCAAAACAGGTGCATTAATTTTTAACAGTTCCAAATAGAGTTCCTTTGCCCATTTCTCCTTCTGAGTCTCCTCATGGTTATGTTTTGCCAACGTCTGTTCAGCAGTAACCCTTTGTCTCCTACTAATCGGAACCCAACTTGCATCGCTGTTTGAGCTGCCTAAGGCACCGGTCAAACCTGTCGCTGTTGATTTCCTTGTGAAACTGGACTGCAAAATGCTTCCAACATGCAAAGGGTCATGCTGATGTTCTCCACGTAGACGTTTCTGATAAGGCTCCGACTGAGAAACAGTACCTAACCAGCCTGAAACAATCTCCTCATGAACATGCTCACAAATAAGACCCAGATCATCGCAAATCTGATGTGCAATCGCTGATGCTTCATCTGAACTGAAAACTGCAAGTTTTCTCCTGTCCAAACCATATCTCAGCAAGACATTCCACATGTCTCTCTCCAGGGCATCCGACTCCATCGGGATTACAAGTAAGCCGGGGCTACAGCCGCATCCCACAAGACACTTTGGTCTCCAACCCTGTTTGGTCCACTTACTGGCCACCATATAAGTATAAATTCATATACTGTCCATAAATTCCAAATTGAGATGATTGAACAATTGCACAGGTTTGACATTGAAGATTCCGTCAAATGTCAATTCCGAAAAACCTGTTTTGGACAACATGGTTTTGTTTGGCAATTGTTTTTCAACCAGTTTAGATTTACTTCCGAGTTACCGGGTTTCGCGTGAGACGTAAACCAACCCAGAAGAAATCGCGTTACGCGTAGATAAAGGAGGTAACCGAAATCACTACACAAAAGTGATGTGAAGATTACCAGAGGAGGAAGGAAAGATGTTTCACCGGATACTTCAGCGGAAGTATCAACATCAAGTACTAACTAATACACTATCGCAACGAGTCGCGAGTGCGTATTCAAGCACATAGCGGGCAGCCAAAACTTGGTCCATCAATGAGGCAGTTTCTGCCAATCCAGCTTGACAAGACCAGGCAACATCCTCCACCAGCTCTTCAACACTAGCGTCACTGTGCGCTTTGGGCTTCGACCGCCGCCCCCCACCCGCGCACAAAATGGGCAGCTGCAGCTCGTGAGTTCTGGCTGAACGTGTGCACTAAGCGAGCAAGGTCTACATCTCGAGGAGACACGCAGCCAGACTTTGCCATCCTGGCTTCAAGACGTCTCTTCCTCTGCTGCAAGGCACGCACACGGCGCCGACACTCCACAAGGGTATGCGCAGGGTTCTCCATGCCGCATGAAAGAAATAAACAGAAACCCAACAAACAGCCACAAAGTTTGCTACATGAACTGTCAACCGTTTCTATGAAAACAGGAAACAAACTGCCCGCTAATTGTGGTATTGCGTACATGCTTTAGATGCTCACCGCCAATCGGCACTAGAACGGTCTGGTGCTTGAACGCAGGCGGCTGCAAGGCGCCCGGATGCCATTGGCACTGAAAGACGAAACCACAAAGACAGGATGACTCACACATGCTGACTCTTATCAGGCTCTTATCTTAAGTTTGAGATGTCAATGCTTCAATGAATCAAACATTGGCTTCTGAATGTCCATAATGCCCATCTACACAGGGGAGGCCCTGCCACATGAAGCCAAAAACGCGCTGCCACAACGACCCTCAAAACAAGCCCTTCCCTGCGTGGCCTTTGCAGCCTCCGACGCAACCCTCTTTGGCGGCATTGCTGTGATCAGGATCTTTCAATACAAGAGTCTACCAACTCAAAGCAGCTGCGTACACAATGACATCCCCCGTGCCCCCTGTAAGCAATGTTGTGGGGTGAACAGCAAGTTTTGGAGGGGCAGGTTTGGAAACCAACGGAGGCAAATCCAACATTGCTAGGTAGGGGTTACAGGGGAAGGGAAAAGAGGATAGATACAATAGAATCCGTCTGTTCATCTCGACTTACGAAAAAGGATCCATCTCTTCTCAACCATTCACATGCAGGACATCAGAAGCCGGTGGAACAGTATGAGCGCCAGACGCATGCAGCTGCACAACCTGCAGCTACGCCGGAGTTGAAGGGAGGACTCACCAAAAGTGGGGTCTGTTCACTGTTCGTTAAAAGCTGTCAGGCACTAATGCTTGTCTACAGCTGAAAAAACCTAAAATCGCCCACAAAACACCCAATCTTGGCATGCACCCAACAGTCCACCATGTTGTCTACTGAGCAATCAAAAGCAAAACTGAGCTGATGGACAAAATTGAGGGCCGGGCTAGGCTAGGCCTAGGCGTTTATCTCCGCAACCTGCACCAGAGCAAAACCCGTTTCCGCCACAAATCCGATACAGCTTACTACGTGTGCCGGCTAACCAAATTTGTCTTGACAGGGGATCCACCTAAATTGAACCCCTTCAGTCGCTTGACCTGTGTTGCAAGAATTGATTTTGCACGCCGGGCCAGGCAAAGCTCAATCTAAGACCTAAGATAGTCGGTCCTTGACTTTCCGAGCTTGAAGGGGTTTCAAGCCAAGCTCAGCAACCATGTCTGCTTCAGACAAAGATGCGAGCATTCGTCCATCGATGGCATTCTCTTTGAAGGCTGGCGCAACATGGCCAAGCTCGAGATCCGACACATACTTGCAAACGTCGTCCACAGTCCAAGACAAGCACAGCATTCTCTTCGGTTCCGGAGTATCACCAGACGATGTTGCCTCACGCTTGCTGCGCTCACACTGCCCCTGCACCGCTTGCCCTTCTCGCAACACAAAATGCGCAAAGCAGGCGGCACAACCTTTGGCCACGTGGGGTGGAATGCTCACTTTTTGTTTGAACTCATAGATTTTCAGCACTTGACCATCATGTCCACATCGCCTTGCTTCAGTTTGCCTTTCAGAGCATGCAGGTCTGCCTGCAAAGTTGTCAAGAACACCGGATCGTTTTTGCTGTACTTCAGGTGCCCCGCATAGAGGTTCTGTGGTCTGGCAATGATGAAGCTGGCTCCTTCGAACCAAAGTAGTTGAAGCACCCAAGAAATGATATCTTCGTTGAATCGCCAATCATCAAGCCACACCAGACGGGCCTTTTCCAAGCCCAGCAAAGGAAAAGCACTCTTTGGTGGGGTGAGAAACACACCTTCATCACCAAATACCAAAGGAAGGGGCCGGAAAAGGAAACTCTTTCCCTCGTTCCCTTCAAATCCTGCGTGGCAAACAAGACTGCCTTTGGACCGGCCATGCAGCAATGCATGCTCGACGGCTTTGCACCATTCAGCAGGGCTGTGCCCATTCTGTGACAAAACGGTCTGAGCAAAAGTAGGCCACTCCCCGCCGCAAGTACATCGCGCAGACAAGGCACCATGCAGTAAGTCCAAACGTGTTTTCGTTGCTGTCTCGATGTGGTTTTCCACTTTCTCCACCTTCCACGACTTTGCGATGATGCTAGGGAGCTTGTCCCAATTTGCAAAACAATAGTCTACTAGAGCAGACCCGCCACATCTTTTTGCATAGGCCATGAGCCTTTCTGGTCCGACTTCGTCAGCTCCTATGTTTTCCTTGATGACTATGGGCCACAAATCAACTTCTCGAAGTCTCCCCTCAGCTTTTCCAGCAGCAGCGCGCTCTCGCACTGCACTCTCACGCTTCTCCCACAGCTTGGCTGCAGTGATGGCGTGACGACTAGCTTCAAGCAGGGGCGGATGAGTACTCGGCCACAATTCCGGGGAAGGATCAAGCTCTTCCACTGCCTTCCTGGGCGAGGGCATGTAGCAGTATGCCACACAGCCTGCATAACCATCACTCTTGCCAGACCAATTGGTAGCCAAACCATGTGCGGCCAGGAAATGACGCTTCAAAGTGTTGAAACGAAAGCATTTCTCTGCCAGAACTGCCACGTGGTAATGGATGTCTCCAGAAGCATGCCGCTCTTGAAACACAGACAAATAAACCAACTTCAAGGGTTCCATTCTGCTAGATTGTGTTGACGCAACTGCACCCAGCATGAAATCCTTGATTTCAGATCTGCTGTAAGTCCCTGGCGGCACAAGCCTGTGTCCATCTTCACTGCGATCTTTGTCAGTGTGAGAAAAGGTCACTAGGTAGGCCCTCCTGGCATTGTTGGGTTCCGCTGTCAACTCAAGAGGGTTTCGACAAGGCTGACCAGCCTTGCTGGACAAACGGCTCTGCACAGCTTCTCTCACCATCTCATTGACTTGGTCTTTGATTCCTTCCAATCCAGAAGGTGCAAGGCCACATTCAGTAGCAACTCTTGTTCGCAGCTGTCCTACATTGCAAGTTTGCAGGTCAGCTTGCTGCACAAGAAGTTCAACGCATTCACGTAGGCGGCCTTCATCAGGCCAAGGCGGCTCAGGAGCAGCAGCCACTTCTTCCAGCTCTGCCATCCAACTGGTTTGCACAAAAAATGAAAGTTACAAGTTCTGAGCCAAAGAGCTTGTTAATTCCTTAGGCAAAAGCCACCAACAACAACCCAAACATAAACGCGGGAACCCAAGAAGCCCAGGTCCGGTGAACCTCTGGCACGAATCTGCGTATAAATATACAAATAAGGATCATATGTATTCGTATCTTCATATAGCGTATGCAAAACCGGGTTATGTCGCCGATACGTCGAAAAATAAGATATGCACACGCCGACATACCAAACATGCAAATGGAATCAACGGCAGCTTCCTTCTTCTAGTATAGCATATGAGAATGATGAAAGACACTATAGCTAAAGCATCGGACGGAAAAGGTATGCAAGAAGATGTAACCCCAGATTCTCATGGCTTCACACAAAAAAAGACGGAAGTCGGCGCCTCTGTCCACAGTCACCAATCTGTAGCCGGCGTGTACCGGCACCGGGGTTGGCACAGATCACACTTGGAAAGGTTCTTAGGAAGCTTCAGCATCAGATCAGATCCAATGATTACTGAGCCATGCACACGCACAATAATCACATCACTACAATGGAGGTCTTTCAGTGAGGCCCTGGAATTCAAGCCTCTTTCTGGACCCCGTTTTGGGGTTCCAAACCTTGACTGAAAATACATGTCCAATGCACAACGGAACCCCCAATCCCAAGTCCTCAGCCTTCGACTTCGCTTTCGCAGCTGCTTTGGGCGGCATGGGCGACCACTTCCACAAGACAAAACTTGCGCAGGCAGTAGCAAACTCTAAGGTCTAAGGCTTGAACACAAGTTGCCGCTAGGTATGACACAACAACAAACGGCAGCAGTCATTGAAACCCTCAACACCAACAACAAAATGCGCACAGGCGGTCTGCTGCTGTGGCATTTCTCAGCTGCTGGCTTCTCCAGGCACCCATGCTCCAGTACGACCTACAATGTGAAACAAAGTCAAAGCGTCAATAAACTCTCTTGATGTCATAATGTCAGCCATTGAAACTCAAGACTCAGCGCTCCATTCCAACATGGTTCCATCATCCCTGCATCATACCTTAAGCATTGAAGATCTTCTGATTGTTTCGTGTTTGCTTAGAAGCCTACGCTTCACCAAGGCCGGGCCATGCTCAAATCCAGAAGCGGCAGTTCTAGGAAATTGCCAAGAAACAGAAGCTTGTAAGTATTTAAAAATCAGGTAGCCTGACCTTTCTCACGTTCTCTGGCAGAACATCGCCTCTAAAAAATCAAGTGGCAAAGATCTCTCGTCAGCACTCACACTCTAAAGGGATCAAATAGCAGCACCTTCCATGGTAACAGCCATGTTCCACACAGAAAAACGGGCGCATAAAAACTGCAAAAGTTTAGGTACGCTGGCTGACGTATCGGATATTTCGGAGAAGTATCAGTCAACACAAAACCCAATGCAAAAGGACAACATCAAAGGGCAAAAGCACCAGCTGACACTTTAGCAAAATCAGAAGCTGCATTGACTGGAGTCAAAACTGTTTGAAGGGACCTGCCGAAACCTTGCTGACACATGGAGCAAAGACTGGACTCAAAACTGTGCGGATCTTGCCCAAAATAGCCCTTGGAAGCGCACCTCCAGGCAATGTCGAAGCTCACAGCTGAATCGCAAAGTCTCAGCCTGCCAGGTCGATCAAATGAAACCACAGTCAGCCACAACATGGTCAATACAGAAAGAAATGCCAAAGGAAAACATCAAACCAGCTGACACGTTGGCAAAATCAGAAGCTGCATTGACTGGATTCGAAATGTTTGAAATGACCTGTCGAACCATCAGCAGCAAACTGGTGAACTTGCAACAAATCACGAAACAAACATCAGGGAAAAGGCAGACAACAGGAAATGTGTTTTGACCACCTGCGACAAAACATGAAATGTCACCTTTTTCAACACATTAGCAAGAAGGTCGGGCGTCAGCCTATGCAAAACAAATTAAGAATCAATTGGAACCGCTTAGCACTACCACCACCCTGTTTCCAGGGTTGGCAAGCCAATCGTGATTCTCCAAATAATCTAAATTCTTCGTTGAATAATTGACTGTTGCAACCACTGGCACGCCAAACAAATCGCGATGGTATGCGCATGTGCCACCTGCAGTTGAACCGAATTCAACTAAGGCATCATACTTGCCCTGAAGCTTTTCCTGGTGGCTGACAAGGAAATTCAAATCTCTCACATCATCAAGGACCAATCCATCATGTACGGCCCGCTGAAAGTGCCTCATGGTCTCTGGGAAAAACTCCAAAGTTCCTATCTTCAGTTCCAAAGGTCGCTTGAACAGGCTCTTGGCCCATTCAGTTTTCCCTGCTCGGGAAGGCCCGAGCACAACCAAGATAGGGTAGCGCAAGGCATCAGCTTGAAAAAGCTTGAGCCAAGCCTCAGCATCTGGCACTTTCGGAAACGGCCGGAAGAGGCTGGGGTTGGACCGAATCCTTTGAACTCGCTCTGCCATGGCCAAAGTCAAAGCTGCACTATCCTCATGGTCCTTGCAAGCATCTAAATTTCGTTTGCGTGAGAGCACACCATCTCTTGTCAAATAAAGCAATTTCTCATAAGTGGCTGAGCTGATTTTACGTTGCTTCCACAACGTCTCCGGCCACTTGCCCAGGACTTGGTAGGTCTTCTCACACCGAACCCAGCATGGCAAATAATTGCCCTCTGTGAACGGCAACCCATCCTTGCCAAAGAGTGTGCCGATTTTGTCTGCGAAGACGTAAAACATCCCCCGGTCAATGGACCGTTGCAACTGTCGCCCAGACAGCCCTTCACCACAGAGATCTGTGGAGCTCGCATTTGGTCTGGCAGCAGCAAAGGAAAACACATCAACCACACGGCTGTCTAAGGCTTTGTGGAATTGCACCATGAGGTGGACGTGTGGCTTGCCTGATGAACATGCCTCCATGGAAGCACACCACTTCTCTACTCCCCAATGAGCAACATGATCACGAACAAAAGTCAAGAAAGCTGGCCATTGATCCTGCTGCACGCCATGGTACGTCAACAGCACTGCAACGGAACGAATCCGATACCCTTGGCGGCCTGTCTCCTTCTTGCCTACCAAAGACATAGCGGAAGCTTGGGCTGGTCGGCCACCAGGGTCCTTCCTCCCTTTCACCGTTTGCCATTCCTCCCGCGCTCGTTGCAACTGCTGAGCGTGTTCCACACAGCCTCCTTTGTCAGGGTGCACCTTCTTGATGATGCACCGGAAAGCTTTCTCCACCAAAGGATCAGGGCTCTCCCGCGTGACCTTCACGCAGACTCCATATTGGTGGGCCAACGCCAACAACAAGGAAACTAAGGCGCGGTTCGCCACCTGCACAGCGGAAGCTACCATCTTGAACCAAAACCACTGCCTCACAGGACATCAGCGGAGGAAGTTTTACTGCAAAGCAACGCGTTAGTTCTGATTGGAAACAATGTGCGGAGTAGGTTTGGAGTAAACCCTTGCGGAGGAGTAATAGCCAAATCAGGTGGCATTTGCAATGGAAAATACGCGGAGGAGGTTTCGCCCGAACTAAAAATACAATGTTATTTCTGTCGGGAAAGAACCTCCTCCGCAAGCTACTAAGAATGAATTGGGAAGTAAGGCGCTGAATTGGGAAGTAAGGCGCTAAGAGTCTACGGGGGTGAAGGGGCAGGTCCTGACACTACGGAGTCGCGAACCGGTACATGTCCATGTCGACACCCGTACACTTCATCACCCCGCCTGCACCGTCTTGGAGATGCATTGGGTCGGCGCGTGTGTACCTGGAAGCAAGTAGCTATAGGATGACACGCAACTACGACTACAACACCTTCGAAGTGTCACGACTGACTCTGACATAATGCTGTCAAAGCAACCAAGCTAATCACATGGCCGTGCTATAAATGCGGTTTGTAGAAAACCAGGAGCTGCCATGGTCAAAAGCAAATGCGCGTCATGTGTTGCACTAAGCTGACAGATGACTGCCGACTCCTGAGGTCAAAGTTTCTGAGACAGAAGCGGCTGATCAGCTACACAGAGAAAATCGCAAGCACCACATGCATTCCCGTACATCATGCAAGGACCTACCACTCTGACACTTCAGACTTGGGAACCCAGCACTGCTACAAGACACGGCAAACATGTTAACCAAACTAGGAACAACTAGGAAACATACAAACATGCTGCAGGACAGGAAATGGCTGTGCTCGAAGCTGCAACTACAAGACTGCAGGCCTCGTCACGGCTACAAATAATAAAGTCCAGAAGTCTTACCCGGGATCTATAACCTCAGGCAATTCAAGCTCACATCTCTTCCCATAGAAAGACGGTTGTCCAGTTAACTCTACCGACGAGGATTGCCAAAACCAAAGGCGCGCATGGGGAAGAGGTCTCATAAGTCTTGTTCAATGTTCAATGTGGTCCAAAAACCCTTTGTGACAACAACTGGCAAAACAAGATGTTTAGCTGACAAAATGGGTTTCCTAAATCTTGTTTCGCAAGCCCCGATTCCATATTCATCCCTTGCTTGACAGATCATGTTATACGCAATCATCGGCCAGCACTGTGCGGCAAATTACAAGCAAACTGGCTGTTGCGACGAGTTTCCCATTTGCTGTCGCACTTTGGTCGTCTGTGTCACGAGCCGGGCAGAGTGAAAAGCAGCTACACAACCGAAGGCCACTCAAGTGAGTGATCTATGCCACTCCAACTGTACCTTGGGGCCTGTGGTCTGCACCACTGCAACTGTAGTTTCCCATGCTCTGCGAGGCAAAGGCTCCTGCGAGCCTCACGCACCTCTCATTCTGCCCGATCTCCCTGCAAGCACATGTCACAATCAAAACAACGACAACAATGAGGTTGGCTCGGAGCGGCATTGATAGCATGGGCGCTGTCCATTCTGAGACAGAACACTTTTATTACTGTGTTTCAAATGCAGGCTCTCTCTCTTTCAGTCAAATGTGACACGGACATGATCAAAAACGAAACTGCCGCAGGTTCGGTACGGCAT